ACAAAGACTGGAGCTTCTTGTCCTTAAAGGCCACCATAGCCACACTAACAGGGAGGCTGTCGAGTCCAGCTGCTCGCTTTCCCCTGAATATTCCGGTTTGGTCACTCCGCAGCTTTAAACCCGGAAAAACTCAAACAGGTTCATGACCGTAAAGATGTTTGAATTTTCAGAGAGTTTTAAATAAAGTTCAGATTTAAAAAAACTCCTCTAGAGTTCGGACTGAAGGCGCTCTGCCGTCTGAGAACAGCCGAGGTGTTGGAGGGGCTGGTTTTCTGTGTGTTTGGGGGGTTGTTGAAGGTCAGAGGTCAACCGCGTTTGATTTGTTGCTCTCTGGAGTGTGAAACGTGAAACCTCACAGCTCTGCAGAGACGGACTGAGCGCGTGCAAACAGACGCCTTATTTTTGGCGAATCCTGGAGTGTGAGCGTGCTCCCTCAACGTTGGCGTTCACACCGAACCGCAGCAGAGAGGAGGTTCAGGCTGATCCGAGGTCAGAGGTCACAGCTTTACCCTCAGCTCAGGTATTTAACAGCTTTGACGTCGACCTGATTCAGAGCTGAAATAAAAGTTAAAAAAGTGATTTCTTTATTTCTGTCAGCTGCAGAGAACGACTGATTAAAAACATTATTAATATTGTTTTATTTGATTTATTTACACCAGATCAGCTCAGATCAGGCAGCAGGACACATTCAAACGAGACGTCATCAAATTATTCATCAAGTATTTACAAGTTTTGGATTTAAAAGAATCTATAATCCGTGTTTTCTCTCTCTCTCTCTCTCTCTCTGGATGTTAAACGTGGTCGACGCTCGTCTGTGTGCTGAAGCAGCTTCAGGTTCTTCTGAATAAAAATGACATTTTTAGGTTTTTTAGTGTTCAGGGGTGACGTGATGCTGAGATTTCTGCCTCTAATACAGTAAATTACATTCATCTGTGTTTCACACTGATATTGTTTCTGCACATATTTTCCTTTTTCCTGCAGGTTTGGTAAGTGCATTAAAAACACACTTTATTTCATTTTTTTTCCTCATATCTTGAATATATTTTGTTTAAAATAAACATCTTAGTTTCAGTTTTTACTGATGACGTTCAACACAGGAGATCACAGTTAGTCTGAATGGTTTTAATGAAGTTCAATCTAATCTACGGTTTCATCACAGTTTCATTATAATGAAGACCTAAATGGAGGGAAATATCGCTAATAAGATTATTCTGAATTCAGCTGCATTAACTGTGTTTTTTTTGATCATAACAAAGGAGAAAAAAAACTGCAAACAGGCAAAGAGACGACAGAGAAAGAGAAATTCAGACGACTGCAAACATGAGGATAAATTCACAGAATCCTCTCAGACAGCGACGAGACTCCGAACAAACCAGATCTCTGTGCTCACGTCAGACCAGTCAACCGTCACTCCCATCGCTCTGTTACTCTGAGTTTCATACATAAACATCTGTCTATAGGATAACCCCGTTCACTCGCTCACCTCATGCTAATGTTGTGCAACAGACAAGAACACGTTAAATTCACCCCGAGCAAATGTGCAGGTTACACACACGTGTTCATTTACAGCCATGAGCAACAGACCTGCACCTGAACGCCTTAACACTTTTATACTTTCAACACTTTTATACTTTTAACACTTTATACTTTTTTTACACGTTTTATACTTTTTTACACTTTTATACTTTTAACACTTTATACTTTTAACACTTTATACTTTTTTTACACTTTTATACTTTAAACACTTTATACTTTTTCACACTTTTATACTTTTAACACTTTTATACTTTTTTACACTTTTATACTTTTAACACTTTTATACTTTTAACACTTTATACTTTTTTACACTTTTACACTTTTATACTTTCAACACTTTATACTTTTTTACACTTTTATACTTTTAACACTATACTTTTTTTTTACACTTTTACAGATTTATACTGTTATACTTTTAACACTTTTACATTTTTTATACTTTTTTACTTTTATACTCTTGTACACTTTTACAGTTTTTACACTTTTGACACTCTAGTGTGTATTTTTATTTATTTATGTTGTACATCATCATGTGTGGCACAAACCTGTAAATGGAAATAACCGCCTGACTGCAGCACATTTCCGTGCACACCTTCATTAATGTGCACTGTCCTTGATTTATTTTCTCAATTATTTATTGATTATTTGAATAAACCAAAAATTTAGAAGTTTGTTAGTTAGTTAGTTTGAACATATTTAAGGAAAATTACAAACTTAAATTAAAAGAATAACAACATCTGAAATATAAGTAGTCTCAGACAAACTAACAGTTTCTCTGATTGTCGCTGATTTCTTCCTCAGAAATTTATCATTTGTTCAATATTTGTGAAACAGAAGATTAACAGATTTGAGAGTAAAACACACACACACACACACACACACACACTTTGAACTATGTTGAATAAGTTTCTTACTTCAGTGTCTGAAAATATAAAAACTCTTTGGAAAGAAAAACTATTTTCTTATAAACGATAAAAAAAAAAAAAACATATTTAGAAGAATCAAAATAAAAATTAAAACAAAAACTTCATTTTCTAACTGCAGCGATAAAAACGCTCTCATGGTTTTATAATAACCTCATTATGTTAGAATCTATATCTGCTCTTGTAGTTCTGATCACATGTATTTTGTTTTTTCTCAATTTTGTCTTTTTATCTTTGTAACATATTTCATATTCTGACCTCTTTTACTTTGAAAATAAACTTTCTCATAATCCAGAGAATCAGATTTACTTTGACTAAAAAGTTCAAATTCACATTTCACTAAAAAAATATCTTTTACACTTTGAATTCTTAAATATTCCACTAACTTATAAAAACACATAAACTGTAATACTATCTAATACTGTTATTTGAAATTTAAAAGGTTTGATATTCAGACGTTAAAAAGTTTCATTTAAAAATCAATTTGAGGTCAAAATCATTCAGAGAAATCTGAGTTTGCAAACTTTAAATATTTGACTAAAAAAAAACCAAAAATGATAAAAATAAAATGATTTTAAAAATCTGTCAAAGTTTTTCTGAGGACTCTAAACTTCAGACCCTCTCCTCACATTTTTACCGAAAAAAACTTGAAAATCTTTTCGGTTGAAACGTCTGAAACCGTCTCAGCGCTCAGATGAAATCTGGTTTCGGTTCTTGGTGACCCCGCTGGCCTGATTCACCACAGGGGGGTCAGAGGGGGGGTCTGGAGGGCCCGGGGGGGTCAGAAAGGGAGCTGGATTAGTTCTACTTGGTCGAGCGTCCCCCCACCCTCTTTGTCCCGCCTGTCAGCGGTCGACACGCTCCACCAATCACACGCCGCGGTCAACAATAGCTGCCATCATTCCCAGAATTCCCTGAGAGGACGAGGAGGCTCCGCCCACAGATCCTGGAGCAGGACGCCGCCGCACTCTGATCCCATTTGAGAGGAAATCACCTCTGACCGCCTGTCACTCAACCCGACTCCTCAACCACCTCCAAACCGGTCCGAACCGCTCTGAGGGCTGGACTCTGCTGGTCTGGACTCTGCTGGTCTGGATTCTGCTGGTCTGGACATGTTCTAGTTCTGGTTTCATGGACCCCACCGGGTCTGAAATGTGTCCTTCAGAGGAGAGACGGAAACGTCCAGACAGACGGACGTTCACGGTTCAAACACGACAACTAAAGTCTGAAAAAAGACCTCCTGATCAGTTATTGATCAGTTGTCGATCGGGTATCAATAACCTTGCAGGGCAGAGGAAATGTGCCCTTCAAAATAAAAGTCTGAGTGTTTGTTGTGATGCATTCAGGGACACTTGGAAACAACACTAACTTTGATACAGCCAAACCTCTCATATTCAGCCCGAGGTCAAAGGTCACTGTATCCCACAGACTGACCATCATCACGTCTCCACAACCACCACAGTCGACCAATCAGCAGCCTTGAATTTTCAGTGAGGGAGGGGTCAGTCGCCCCTCAGCGACAGGCGAACCCCTCGCCGGTCTTATCAGCGCCCCGACACGGCCTGGATTACACGACCCCAGTGGCTGCTGGGAGTTCTGCTAATCTGACCGCTCCTGCCAGCAGTCTGAAGGGTCTCCGTCTCAGCGCCGCTTCCTGGTTGGACAGGAGCCACTGTTGTTGTTGTCTGGCGCTCTGAGCAGCCAATCAGCTGCAGAGTTTCCTCCCTCTAATGGGCCTGTTAGCAACAGAACTGGGCCAAACCCAAACGGACCGTGTTCCTGACCTCAGAGTGACCCCGCTGTGTAAACACTTTTGACTGAACAGTTTTACAGTATCTTAGAGGCTTTTACTTTGAAATCCTGCTGCTGCAACCTTGTTTTTCAGAGAGGAAGTGACCTCAGCTAAAACTCAAAGCCCTTGAATGATGTCTCCTCAGTCCTCATAGGAACCAGAAACACTTACAAACCTGACAAGCTTCACAGAATCCTGAGAGCAGCTCAGAGGAGAGAGGATCGAGGAGAGAGGAGAGAGGAGAGAGGAGAGAGGAGGGAAATCAGAGGAAGGAGACGTGAGGGGAGCCTGATCCTCACCGACTGGACGCTGCAACAGCTCGGACTACGCTTGAACTTCAGAACCAGAGTTTGATAACAGAGGACAGACGGGTCCACCACGTCAGGGAAGCTTGGACTGATGTGGATTTTCTGAAGAGTCAGATGAGCTCGGGTTAAAGGGATATTCCGGCGTAGAATCAATTTAGGGTCTCCAGAGATCTCCAGATCTCCAGAGATGAATGTTGTCGACCGCTTGCTTCTCTAGTTATACCAACTTTAGTAACGACCGCAGGATAGAAATACAGAGAGCCACGCCCCCAACCAAAACGCCACTCTATAGACACAAGTAATGCTCAGAAGCGAGTAGTGAGACCTCGACCAGTCCATTACGGACTACAGCGAGGTGCCGCAGCTCAAGGAAGAACATTTATGATCATTTCTTCATCATTTCCTTGAAGTAATAATCACCATATTAATCATTTTACAGACGTGGTAGTTCTTCTGTCTTAGCGTCTCGGTCTGATTGTATTTCCATGAAGTAATGATCATAAATGTTCTTCCTTGAGCTGCGTCACCCCGCTGTAGTCCGTAATGGACTGGCCTGAGGTCTCTCTACAAACAAGCGTCTGCTGGAAGAGAGTAGGTGAGTTGTGTTTAGTCTCTTTGCTAAAGAAATGAGTCAAAGTTAAAAAGATGTTTGGTGTCTAGTACTATGTCTGTGACCCTATATGTCCTGTTGATGAAGTTAGGTGCTGTTCTGAGCATTATTTGTGGCTATAGAGTGGCGTTTTGGTTGGGGGCGTGGCTCTCTGTATTTCTATCCTGCGGTCGTTACTAAAGTTGGTATAACTAGAGAAGCAAGCGGTCGCCAATATCCGCCGGAATATCCCTTTAAATGCATCGGGGAAACGTGTTCTCATAGATTTCTACACAGACCAGTTAACCAGTCAGCCGCCCCCTCCTGGACGTTAAAGAGAATGCAGGTTTGGGTTAAGAACTGGTTCGTATATATTTGCATTATTTAATGGTTTATTTCCAGCTGCAGTATCCTGATTGGCTGACTGTCTTAAACAGTAAACTACAGTCAGAGTTTGTTGTTGTTTCTGTGACCTTTGACCCCTGCATCCCGGCGGTTCAGTCAGATCAGGAGCTGCTGCGTGCTGATTGGTTGTGACTGCTCGGTGTTTGGGATCAGGTCACGCTGCTGAACATCCCGACTCGACTCTGTTTGATAAACTCTCAGTCGGCTGACGGCCTTCACAGGATTTAACGCTCCGATACGTGTGACGCTCCGCGGCCTCGTTAATCCAACACGAAGTGGATTTCCATCCTGATTGGGCGGAGGAGGTGGGGTGTGACAGGCAGCAGGAGGAGGAGGAGGAGGAGGAGGAGGAGGTTTAAATTCAGACTGCTTTAGATTCCTGAAGAGCTGCTCCTCTCTCTGCTGGAAAATCTGATTTATGAGGCAGCCAGGCGCCAAATCCTCCCCGCCATTTTACTTCACATACCGAGACTGAAGAAAGAGGAGGAGGAGCTGAGGATGAACAAAAGCTTCACCTTGATCGACTCAGACTCCACCTCCTCCACCTGTACCTGACTCTGTGGAGGCCCAGAGGGGACACAGGAGACACACCATCTCACACAGAGAGAGTCAAACTTCCGTTTTTCATTCCTGACGCCCAAAAGTTTCTCGACTATGGCGAAGAATTAGGGTCACGTAAAGAAAAAGAAATACAGTGTTGGAAAAAAGTTTGGAATATTTGTCAATTCAACCCCAGCCTTGTGTTTAACGCGGTCTGCTGCTTTCTGGAGAATTATTCAAAGACTTTTTAATGTTCCCTGGTCTCTGTGACATGTTTTTGAAATTCACATCAAACTATTTTGTTTCTCAAAAAATTGTAGGGCGGACACCTCATGATTCACAAAAAGCCATAGAAATAACGCATAAAATCATGAGTCGGTATTTAATAAATAAACGGCTGTAATTTTAAATTGCCACAAAATACGTGGACCATCTTTGAAAGCAACATCAAACATAACAAGACGATAACAACAATACAGTCAGTACTTTGTGTGACCGCCTCTAGCATTGTACAATGCACGTACACGTCTGGGCATGCTGGTCACTGGGTTGGTAAGAGTTTCAACCGGGATTTCTCGCCAGCATTGGATCACAGCCTGAGTCAGTTCAGCCACGTTTGTTGGAGGATCATTCACGTTACACGAAACACTGAAGAAAATATTCCAAACTTTTTTCCAACACTGTACGAATTCGAGAAAATTAAGACCTCGACATTGTAGTCATTCATTTATGAGAAAAAGTCATAATAAAATAAAGTCGGAATAAAATCATTTTTTATGAGAATGAAGTCGTAGTAAATTTAGTCGTTATAAAATCCTTACTTATTAGAATAAAGTCGTAATAAAATAATTACTTGCTAGAATAAAGTTGTAATATAATCTTTTTCTACGAGAATAAAGTCGTAATAATAATAATAATAATAATAATAATACATTTTATTTGTATAGCTCTTTTTACAGGAGCTCAAAGACACTTTACAGAAGGTTAAAAAACAACAAAAATACAATGAGATAAAGATTAATAATAACAAGCTAAAAATAAAATCGAATAAAATCATTTACTTTCGAGAATTAAGTCGTAGTAAATTTAGTTGTAATAAAATCTTTACCTATGAGAATTACGTCGTAATAAAGTTAGTCGTAAAAACGTCATTAATTATTAGAATAAAGTTGTAAAAAACTGATTAAGATACTTATGATAACGATGATGTGCCAAAAGATGAAGTATCTCCTGTTTAAGAAACTTATATTAAAGTTCATTTTCACTAAACTGTCATCGTAAAGGGCAGGTTAGAATAGACGGACTTTATTCTGACTTTACCCTCATAAGTGATGACTTCATTATGACTTTGTTCTCGTTAGTTCATGACTCTTCATTTCTTTATTCTTGCTGTGGCCCTAACACTCCGTCGAACAGGACAGTCTCCTTTTGGGGGTTTATAAAAGTTGATATTCACGCTGGTGCATTAAAGATATTTGGATATAATTTTAAAAACATCATTTCTACTTTTCATTTCCAGGTGACGCTGAAAGTGTCCGTATGATTTTTGTCGCCTAACTGAACGTATTCACAGAAAAGAGGATGAAGCCGCTTCATTAGGAACACAAAGGTCACATGACACAAACATCATCTCTCCCTCACAGAATCTACTCTAGAGTCCGATGATCGGAGAAATCAGAAACAGCCTCTGAGGAGAAGGAGAGTAAAGATTCAGACACATCAGAGTGATGGAGTCGGACCGTCAGCCCAGTCCATCAATACAGCGTTCCCGTCAGTCAGCTGTCAATCAGACGTGTCAGTCTGACCCGCTCTCTGCACGCCGACCTGTCTGCTGTCAGCCGGCGCTCACATCTCCTCTCCGTGCTGCGATTAGTCCGGACTCGTCATCAGCAGGATGAGAAAATTAATGTTACCATCAGTGAGCCCGGAGCGTTCAAAGAAGTCATGTGATCTTGAACTAAAGCGCCTCTGCAGTCACATGACCAGCCGGCCTCGTTTCCAAAATAAAGACAGTTGAACTAAAATCAGACGGAAACTTCAGCTCGTCTGAATCTGTGAATCACTCTGAATAAAAATCGAATACGCTCACTTCACCAGGAGCGGCGCCGTTCTTCTTCTGTGGTTTTTTTAGTTCCTGAGTGTTTGTCTTTCCACACCTGCTCCTACACCTGACCTTCTCCACACACACACACAGACTTTGTCATCGTTTACACCTAAAACCACAGCGTTTACAACTTCTGTATCTAACTCAACCTTTAAGGCCAAAGTGTTTCAGAATAAAACACAAATCACTCGGAGCGCCGTAAATCTCCTGCAGATAAAACAGTAAAAACACCGTCACCGACTGAACGAGGATGTTTAAAAATCTGTCAAGTTGAAATAAAATCAGAAATAAATAAAAGGTTCAGCGGAGAAGTGAGTGGATCTGGACAGAGACCCTTAAAAACACACAAACACTCTCCCAGTCTGAGGAGCTCAGTGACATCTGGCTCATAGTTCAAAGGTCGAACACAGATTTGGTCAGCAGACAGTTTTTATAAGGTCGTCTGCTGTCAGAGAAAAGTACTTTAAAAATCTGTCGCTCAAAGTCCTCAAAGTTTCGATTGTGTTCAGCTCAGATACAAAGTGAAATACTGACAACTGGAGTCAATTCATTTCCTCATTAAAAGTGTTTTTTGTGTTGTCTGTGTCAGAGCAGTAGATTAAAACAGAGTGGCGACACTCCCATAGACAGACGCTGTACAGCCCGGCGGACCCCACTTCCGGGTTATGGAACGCTTGTTAGTTCCAACATGACCGCCTGTCACGTCGGACGCCGTTCGCTTCTGTGGCCACAAGGCAAGCGCTCACCGAGGTTAAATGATAATATATCAACAAGTTTAATGCCAATACATGTGTTATTGATATCGAGGGGACCCCTTTATATGTAAAAATGTATATCCCAAATGTAATTACGTTGTTTTAGTCAGGAATTGGGATCGATTTTTTAGCCACGGTTTGCTCCCACACTCCCCGAGGTAAAATATTGTATCAACGAATGTAATGCCAATACGTGTGTAAATGGTATCGAGGGACCCCTTTACATGTAAAATGATTTTAATTTTAGTATGCTCAAATTGTAATTACAGATGTAATTCCCTTTTCTTAGTAAGGAATTTGGATCGATTTTTTAGCCACGGCCTGCTAGCTGGACGTCGTCAGCTGTAGAGGCCTGCCAAAATGTATTGTGTGACTGAGTTATGAATCACAGATGAATCATCATCATCAATCATATGTTGAGATGGTTACTTATGGGCTTTATTTTAGATTTCAGCCTTTATCAGTTCCCGATGTTATATGCAATTTATTCTTTTTAGACTAACATAAATGCTATGTAATTTGATTTCTGCTTATGGGATGATAGAGTTAAGGGGCCGCTACTTTTTAAATCCTGTCAGCATTTAAGGCGTATGTTTAACATGGAAAAATGTTATGCAGGCCATGCTGCAAGACCAAAACATTGTACAATTGTTTAAACAGCTTGTAACACCTGTTACCTACCACTTTATTGTATTATTTTCTCTTATTAAAAAGTAACACGTGTTACAAAACTTGTCTTATTTCACTTTTATTTGTCATCCAGCCGCTAAATATACGTACGTGACTTTGACGTGTACACAGTAATCCAATAAGAGTTGCAAATGTTGACTTCTTACGGTTAATTTGAATATTTACCTCTTAAATGCGCGCTCACTGCAGTCTGCCCCGTTGAAGAGCATGGACAGTGCAGGCTGCGTTTGGAACTATGGAGGGGTGGATGAACCACGTGACCGCTCCGGCGGCGAGATCTGAAGTTGTCGCCACTCTGTTTAATCCATTGCTCTGGTCTGTGTGAGCCGCTGTCCCCGCCCCCTTTCTCAGTGCGACAGGTTCATGACAGGGTAGAGAGTGAGCAAGCCGAGATTCACCTGTGGGACGACGTTGGCGACAGCGTGATTCCAGGTGGACTGAACACGGCGGGAATTTCCGGAAAATCCAAAATTAGAAAGGCCTCAGTGAGTTTCAGATGAAGATAAACTCAGAAATCAGAGATTTAAACTGAGGAGAGTACAGGGAGGAAAGTTCAGGAGACGCTGCGACATTAGATAACGACGGAAAAACAACGAACATCAGCAGAGCTGCCAAGTGTCACGCTGAGTGTGACGGTCACGCAATTTGACCCGTTCTCACGCCACACTTGACATTTCTCACGCTTATATCTCCCCGTTCAATACTCTGTATTGATTTTTTCACGATAATAAACTTGGTTTGCGGTAGGCCTGCACGATATATCGTTTGACTATCGTCATCGCGATGTACGTGTGTGCGATAGTCACATCGCAGAGCCTGCAATATTGGAGGTGAATGAACTCAGTTAATTTCAAGGGTAACTGACTGAGATACACTGCATGTGACTCTGCATGTGCTGTGCAGCGATCCACCAATCACCTTCGTCCTTAACTCAGTTGCCAATCAGACTCAGTTCTCAGTTGCCAATCAGACTACCCTGCCAGCTGTCAATCAAAATCAGGGAGGAGAAAACCCACCCCTGCAAGTGTTCTGCACATGGAGGGAGACGTGTGTCTGCTGAGAATTACTTTCGGAACTTTACTCATGACTATAAAGCCCAACAAATAAGAACTGTATGGGTTTTAAATTGTACATTTCCGTGGATCACTCTACTATAAGCAGTGCGCGTTTTGCGAGGTGCATGCAATTCTCGGAGGACATGCGTTTCTCGGCACAACACCGCTAACAACAACAACAACGATCGCAAAATGAACAACGAACAAGCGAAAACCACCGAAAATGAAGATTTGTTGCCAAAAAGAAAAGGAAAGTCAGTTATCTGGAATTATTTCGGTTAAAAGAAGGATGATGTCGACCAAAACACGTCTTCTGTGTTCATCTGTTGCCACAATAACGTCCCAGCACAATAAAAGCTAAAAATATCTCTGAGACAGACAGAAGCCATTCTAACATTCACAAAGAGAGGTAAGATCAGAGCAGATTAACTGTCCTCAAGATTTCAGCAGTGCAGCATAACATTAAGTGCTATTCAGGTCATCTGGTGAAAATACTGTATTTTTAATATCGCAATATATATCGCAGGGTTGAAAAAAATCGCAATATTATTTTTTTCCAATATCGTGCAGCCTTAGTCTGAGGTAGTTTGAGTAACTCTGATTGACCAATCCATCAGTCCTTTAAGCATAAATCTAACCAACCACAGAAGGCGACACGCAACATTAACCAATCAGAAGCAACGTAAGGCGGGTCTTGGCGTCTCTAACTATCTTTCACACACAACAGCGCCGACATTTAAATCCCGATTTCTAATTCCTGGTTAATTAAGACGAGCGTTAAAAGGTCACAGTGCAGAGAGAGCAGCTGACATGGAGGTGAGGACATCAGTCTAAAGGTAGAAATCAACGTTAAAAAAGGCCGAACACATCGTAACGCTAAAGTCTCGCTCTTGTCATTTTCTGAAAGTTGGCGGCCCTGCACTAGGGTCCGGAGGAGATCCTGGATTTTATTTTTCAGGGGTTCGAGAGCAAAAAGAAAATACGTCCCACTTTAACAGTTCACACTCAGAGTTTTTTATTCCGTAGATCAAAGCGTGACATCTGTCTTTGTCTCAGAGTTCCGTAAAAAAGAAAAAGTATCGAGATCAAAGAGCGGACTCCGTCTTTGATCTTGGAATTCTGGTCTCAGAATTCCAAACTTAAAAAAAAAATCTCGTCCTCCGTCTGAAAACTCTCTGAGTTTTAGGAGCGAAACGTGGAAGACGGCTCAGATTTTTGATTTTGATTTCTGATTTTCGTTTGTACTTCATGGTGAGATGTTCGTTCTTCTTCTGAGTGTTTTTGTTGACTAACTAAAAAAACCCGAGATTATTAAATAAACACATTTAAGGGAAGTAAAGGGTTCACATTCCTGCAAGAACCTGAGCTACAAAAGCTGAAGTACTCATGAAGACGCTTTATTTAATACGTAGAATATTAAAAAACAGAGCGGTGTCTAAAACCTCAGAAGGTTCCTGATGTGACGAATGTTCGTTCTCGACGCTCGTTTTTGTGATGATTTCGGTGTGAAATAATTGTCATGTTAAGAAAATGAGGTGAAAATAATCACAGCTTCTTATTTAAATGTGTAAAAAGGATCTCAAACAGAGCTTTGTGTCCCTCCCAGTTCCCTGTACTTTGTTACCAGTCATAAACTGGTCCGGCTCTGGTTCCAGTTTCACGGAGGATGGAGGGATTTTCTCCTCTCTGATATCTTACAGGAGCTCCTCCTCAGTAAAACCTGATCTCACCCAGATGAACACTTCAGCTCCATTTCCTCCGTCTGACTGTAAATCTGTGAAGTCTGAGGGACGACACCAAACCACGGCGAGCACAAACACGCCGCCACCGCCGCCGAAACATGACACCAGATTTTATCAGAGCTGTCGGCTCAAACGTCAGAGGACAAATAAATCTGATCACCTACCTTCAGAGGAGCAGCAGGAGGACAGGAGGTGGCAGGAGGCAGCAGGAGGACACCCAGACCAGCAGCAGAGAAGAAGAAGAAGAAGAAGAAGAAGAAAGAGTTAATACACGAAGAAATACAAAACTCACTTCAGAGCGATTCAAAAAAACAGAGCGATCGACAAATCCACCGAGTTTGATTTGAATAAAGATTTGATTTTTGTACTTTTACTGTCAGAGAAAATTAAAGTCAGTTTATCAGCAGAGCTCGTGTTTTATTGATCTGAAGCTGCATTTTCTTACAACGTGGAGGAATTCCTTCATAACAGAGAAAAGGGAGAAAGAAGAATAAAGAGGAGGAGCAGGAGGAGGAGGAGGAGGAGGAGTTGGCTTCAGCTGTATAAAACTCTTAACTCTTCGGGACGTCTCCAACCAAACAAAAAAGAGGGACGAACCGTCCAGACGGAGACTCTCCACTCTTTGTGAACACAAACAAAACAACACAGCAGTTTGTTTTACCCTCACTCACTCACTCACTCACTCACTCACTCACTCACTCACTCACTCACTCACTCACTCACTCACTCACTCACTCACTCACTCACTCACTCATTAGCCACGTTTACATGCAGACTTTTCTCTCATTCGGATTATAATCATTCCGATTGAAGCTCCCAGGCGAACTGTTTACATGGAAGTGATCTATTCTGATCTGGTGTTTACATGTGCCACGGCATTCAATCGGAACAGCTATTTACAGACACGTGATACCTTCAAACATCACGTGATGTTGTCACATGATGTCCCACCATGTGAGTCATACGTCACTGCTTGTTTACATCAGGACAGAGCATGCGCAGACAGAACCCAGGCTGACAAATTTCCGATTCACCGTTTACATGACAGGATTTTTCTTTTAATCGGAATGGGAAAAGGAATATTCTACCCCTGTGAATCGGAATGAAATTCCATTCGGAATGGGCCTGTTTATTCCGAATGAGGTGTTTATATGGAGCATTTTCATTCCGATTGTATTCGGAATATTTGGCTCCATGTAAACTAACTAACTAACTAACTAACTAACTAACTAACTAACTAACTAACTAACTAACTAACTAACTAACTAACTCACTCACTCACTCACTCACTCACTCACTCACTCACTCACTCACTCACTCACTCACTCACTCACTCACTCACTCACTCACTCACTCACTCACTCACTCACTCACTCACTCACTCACTCACTCACTCACTCACTCACTCACTCACTCACTCACTCACTCGTGCTCCATCCCTGAGGTCTGAACCAGTAGAACATTAACCCTGAGGAGCAGCAGCAGTGAGTCCGTCTTCATCACCTGAGGAGGTTCAGACTCCAGCAGCTGAACCTCACCTGGATGTTTCACCTGTACAGGTGACTCACAGTCCAACCCCCTGAAGTCCAACTGTGGTCTGTTAGTGTTCGATTAGACTCAGGAGTAAATCAATCAAACTCATCAGTGTGTCTGCAGACAGGTGTGTCATCAGGAGACATGAAGTCATTGATATATTTATCAGCTGATGTAGAAGTCTTCATACACAGCATCTATATCCTCCACCTTTATCTATGATGGAGATTAGAAACCGTCGTAAACAGACATTTGATTGAATAAAAACGTCCAGAAGGGTCAGATGTTGTTTCTCTTGAGTCGCTGAAAAAACTGGGTGATCAATAAAGCAGCGATCTCTGATCGATCTGCTGAATCTGATTTATTAAAATCTTTGGTGGAGGACGACGTCTGCATCTGTTCACTCAGAAAGCTGGTCGATCAGTTTTTCTACACAGTCAGATAAAAATATTAGTCAAATCTGAAATCCTTTAAATTCCTCTTTTCTCTGCAGCCGTCGGTTCAGAAAACCATCATCTCCAGTTTTTCTCCTGTTTCATCGTATTTGTCTGGACTGATCTCACACAGGCGGGATCTTCCGTTTGGTGGATCTACTGATTCTCATTTGAGTCAGACAGGAGACAGAATCAGAGCATTAACCTGCAGCTTTTGTTTCCGACAATGATCCTGAAAAAACAGCGGACAGATGTGTGTCTGATTGGACGAAAACTTCAGGGTCGTATCCAAACAGCTCCGACCTGGAGAATGAAGCTGACGCAGACGTGTGATTAAACGGAAAATAACAGGAATATAAAAAAGACGAACGTCTGTTTTAAACACGGAGAACAACCAACAAACTCACAGTCTGGATCTGAAAGTCACTTCAAATCCCTCCTGGATTTCTCTGAACATCTAAAACATCTGCATGGAGACGATGAGGAGCAACACGCTCCTTCAAAAACACGATTTTTCAGACTTTATCAGCTGAGATCAGAGATCATTCAGCTCTGGGGGGTCTCTCAGACTGGTCTGGTCTGGAGTTTGTGGAGCTGAGATCTTCACTCCTGGTTTGTTTGTTTGTATATTAGTGTTGAAGGTCCAGCAGCAGGTCTGGGATCAGAACCTCAGACAGACTCACTCTGTGTGAAACAGCAGGAGAGAATCAGCAGTCAGTAAAACTCGAATAAACCACACCGTCAGGACCCTCTGAGCAGATCCAGATGTGAGCAGCCGGCCTCCAAAAACCCCCTCCCCCTCTGAGAGCTGATTGGACGGCTCCTCTCTCCTCCTGTGCTCTGATTGGACGCCGTCCTCCCCCTCTGCCCGCCTCCCTGTGAGTTTTGACAGTGTTATTAAGTGAAATGAGAAGCTGCTGAAACTCTCACAGAAAACAGGCCGGTCCTACAAGAGTCAGGATCTGCAGAACCTTTAACAGGAGCACAGACCCACCAGGAACCAGGTCCACCAAAGTCCATCACAGAACAGAGACTCTTTACACTGAAGTTACACAACATAAGACAACATTATTGTGACTGTGTCACCATGACAACCAGGACCATGTGACCCCACAGCATTAACTCCACACTGAGGGTCAGAGAGTTACTGAGGACCTGAGAGGTTCATGTCCCCACATCGTACCATAAACCTGTTCTTACAACACACACACACACACACACACACACACACACACACACACACACACACACACACACGTCAGGATGCTTTATCAATAAGATCAGAGTTTAGAGTATCAGTGATTTCTAAATAGAGTGTAGTTTACACACCTGTGACCCCAAACCCCCTCATCCAAATATGGTCATTTCCTGTCAAAAAGAACTGAAAGACGCTGAAACTGCCCAATCATTCCTTCAACACTGTCAACAAACTTAACCCCCGTTTCCATCGTCTCCTAAAAGGTCGTATCCTCCGATCGTAGCTGATCGTAACCATTCAAGTTAACGTGTCAATTTACACCGACTTCTTTCCGTTCCTCTGCGGATCGCCGGACTCCTCAGCTGATCACAAGAGTTCTATTTTTTCTGGACGCCGGAGCATGGCGGATAAATTCAGCACAGATTAACCCGTGCTGGAAAGGAAGTCGGGCACAGACTTCAAAATAAAACATCCGGCTTCTTTTCAAAATAAAACAAAACCTTTCATTTGTTCGGACGGAGACGAACAAGTGAAAGGTTTTTAGACGTCATTTCACCCCGATGACACCATGGATGAGGAGATGCTGATTCTAGAAGTCTAGAAGTAGATTTCCTCCTCTGGAAGGACACAATCTACTGCTTATATGTCTATGTGTCTGTCTTTAGAGAGACAACTCGTTATCGTGGGATATCGGGGTCCATCTCTGACCCCGTCTATGAGGAAACAACCAGAGACAGAGGAAGGAGAAACTGTCGGCTACATGCAGACGGTACCGGGTCCAAACTCTGTTTTTGTGAGGGAAACATCTTTAGTTTGTTTGTTTGTTTGTTTGTTTGTTTGTTGATCTCCACGGGGAGCTCCGACTTTCATCATCAGTCAGTTGAGTTTCCTCTGCAGAGACTGAAACAGAGACTGAGCTGCAGAGAGCCGCCGAGCTTCATCATCACAAAGACTTTAAACTCTGAATTTAAATGTGTTTTAACTGAAGAACCACGAGACGAACACGCCGCCGTCTATGAACGTATGTTCACATGAAACAGGAGAGAGAGAGAGAGAGAGAGAGAGAGGGGGAAGTACTTCACTTTATTAGAACCTAGTTTGATGGACTTGGAGAAAACTCCTGAAACCTGATCGAGTCAGACGTACGATTTTAAAACTGGTCGTTGAGTTTTAACTCCGTCATCCTCAAATGTGTCTGAAGACGAGAATCCACCGAACAAAGAGCAGCTGAGTTCAAACACCTCTGACTCTGAAGAGGGTTTCAGGTTCGAATATGACCCTAAACATGGCTGATGTTCCACTCAGTGGGTCAGACTGACCTGCAGCTCTACAAATAACCGTGTTCGTAACGTCGTGGTCGTAAAACACGATCCGGAGTCCTGGTTCTGGTTCTGGTTCTGTCTCTCTTTGGTAGTTTTTATATACAGTCCGTGTGTGTTTGTTTGTTTATTTGCACAGGTGGGACTCATGCAGGTGTTCAGGTTGATTGGCAGGTCAGTCGTCCAATCACAACCACAGATGTCTCTCGAACCTTTGACGTCCTTCACTTTTAAACCCGCACAGCTGCTGAGAGAGTCTCGTTCAGTTCAGGAACTTGTCTCTGGTTGCCGTGGTTACCTCGACCCTCACGCTGATTGACGGCTGGTTGTTTATACTGACCCCGGCCACAGCAGGAGCTGCAGTGCATTCTGGGTGAAAAGGGGGCCTACAGCAGAGGTTTGGGTGATTTACTGTCCGACCTGCATCGTCTTTTTTTAGGATCTTTGTTTGTGTTTCTCTTCTTCTTCTTCATCTGTTTTTTCTCTCTCTCTCTCTCTCTCTCTCTCTCTCTCTCTCTCTCTCTCTCTCTCTCTCTCTCTCTCTCTCTGGGTCGGCTGTAACTCATCAGGTGGAGGCAGGTGGGACGGCTGGTTTCCTGCTGGAGGTGAAAGGTTTAATCTCAGGGTTCAAACTCATCCTTCAACCGGAGCCCAGGGCCTCTCTGACCCATAATGCACTGCTGCAGGTTAGCTCTGGCAGAGTCTCTCCATGGTTTCGGAGTGTGTGCTTCAGTATTACTTTCTCTGTTGAACGGTGTGTAGATAAAACCGAAGAACACAGTCTGTCTTTATTCTTCTGAGAAATAAACTTAAAGTCATGGCTGACGATTGTAGAGATTGTTAATTATTATTATGACCCTCGTTTCCATGGCGATCACGGTCCTGTAGTGCGATCTCCACAAAGTGAAGAGAAAAAAGAACGGGAAAAGTCTGTTCAACCTATCAGGAGCAGTGCTGCAAAAACATCGACCAATGGGAGCCATCTGCCCCGGACAGCTCCTATTGGTCAATCTCCTGCTCCGCCTCTCCATCCAATCACCTCGCTGTATTCGACACACCCCTCTCCTGTAGTTCCAACTCTTCCGAAAACGCAAGACGACAGAAGAAAGGGCGGAGTCAAAGAGGACATGTGACCAAGCGAGGAATCTAACGTGAATAACCATCGGGTCATCCTTGGAGACGCAGAGACAGCAGAGTTTTAGTTGAACAGGTCATTTTTATCTCCTTTTATCTCATGTTACATAAATAACTCTGATTAGTCTCTGACATGTCAACACGGTAAGTAAATTAATAAATAAATAAGAATAAATATAAATTAAAATAAGTTAATAAAAATAATTAATAAATAAATTGATAAAAATAAAAAACATAAAAATAAGTTTGTAACTAAATAAACTGAAATAAATTAAAATAATGAAGTAGAGATAAAAATAAAAATAAATAAAAATAAGTTAGTAAGTAAATATATAACAATAAATAAAAAGTAAGTAAATAAAAAGAAATAAAATTATTTAAGTAAATATATAAATAAAAATACTAAAGTAAATAAAGATAATAATAATCAAGTTACTAAATAAATAAATTAATAAAACTAATTAATTAGGTAAATAAATAAAATTAATAAAGAGAAAAAAGAACGGGAAAAGTCTGTTCACCCTATCAGGAGCAGGGCTGCAAAAACATCGACCAATGGGAGCCATCTGCCCCGGACAGCTCCTATTGGTCAATCTCCTGCTCCGCCTCTCCATCCAATCACCTCGCTGTATTCGACACACCCCTCTCCTGTAGTTCCAACTCTTCCGAATACGCAAGCCGACAGAAGAAAGGGCGGAGTCACAGAGGACATGTGACCAAGCGAGGACTCTAACGTGAATAACCATCGGGTCATCCTTGGAGACGCAGAGACAGCAGAGTTTTAGTTGAACAGGTCATTTTTATCTCCTTTTATCGTGGCTCATGTTACATAAATAACTCTGATTAGTCTCTGACATGTCAACACGGTAGCTGTCCAGGCAGCTGCAGACGGCGCTCGCTAGCAGAGCTGGCGTTTACTGCCGTTAGTCACTAACAATCCGACATGGTGGATCCTGTTTGAAGCTAGCGTAGGATCTTCTGACAGAGGGGGCGTGTCCTGGGGAGGGCGGTACAGGTTCAGGGGGGGTGGGACGCTTTTTTTTAAAATCTGCCTCAACGGATCAGTTTTTTTTACGTCTTCTCAGATCGTCAACCACGAATTTAAAGAATCCTATTTTCTCCGGCGTTTCCCAAACTCTGTTGTCTCTAAGAAACCTCGTCTCTGCTCTAATGTCGGCTGAAAAACTCAAAATCTAAACCTGAGAACTTTCAGTTATCTGGATGTGTGAATGACGATTTTCTTTATCCGAAGGCCTCCATCCATATCTCTGAGGTGTTTCTGATAATCATCATCAAAATTCACTCCAGAATAAAAAAAGAAATACGCTGAAAGTTTCTTAAAAACACGTCAAATATTCGACCATCTCCTTTTTTTACGAGTGACGGGTTTGAAATCCTCTTTTTAGTCTCTCAGATTTATTCTTCATGAATCAGGAGATTAAATCAGGAAAAAGGTTTTTTCATGTTTCTGAAAATTATTTTTTCAGTTTTAATTTTCTGCCGCTCATGTTGGCGCCATCACTACGACTCAAAGCAGAGGTGACCTTTGACCTCCCACAGAAGGCTGCCGCAGCTCAGACTAAGGAAGAAGAAGAAGAAAACCATCAGAGAGACGAGGAACAAAAACCAGACGGCTGCAGGGATTAAAGAGAGAGACAGAGAGAGAGAGGGAGAGAGAGAGAGAGAGAGAAAAGAAACATGAGCGTCTCGTGTAAAATCAGGGATTCCTCGTATTTCTTACGACTGACAGATAATTTGTTGGATTTTTTCTCCAGAATAAAAACCGTCTCTACATGAGAACCAACAGAACCACAGAGATCCTGAAACCAGCAGAAAAAACGAAGAACCGGGAAAAAACCTGCAAAACACACAGAACCTGCAGAACCTCTATTGAAACCTACGACGTTCCACAGACCCAGCAGAACATCTCGAAGAACCTGCACATACGCAGAAACGTCCAGAACCTACAGAGCATCACACAGAACCTACAGTCATTCAAACCCTGCAGACGGAGATCACAGAACCTGCAAACATCAGAATACTCCATCAAATATTAGGAATATTAGAGAGACGCTCTTTTTCTGCAGACGAATAAATAAATAAAAATAAATAAATAAAAATAAATATGTAAATAAAGATAAGTAAGTAAACAAATAAAAATAAAGAAAAGTATTAAGTAAGTAAATAGATAAAAAAAAATAAGTAAAAAATAAAAATAAATATAAATTATTTAAGTAAATTAATAAATAAATAAGAATAAAACTAAATAAAAATAAGTAAATAAAAATAATTAATAAAGTAAATAAATTGATAAAAATAAAAAACATAAAAATAAGTTTGTAACTAAATAACTGAAATAAATTAAAATAATGAAGTAGAGATAAAAATAAAAATAAATAAAAATAAGTTAGTAAGTAAATATATAACAATAAATAAAAAGTAAGTAAATAAAAAGAAATAAAAATTATTTAAGTAAATAAATAAATAAAAATACTAAAGTAAATAAAGATAATAATAATCAAGTTAGTAAATAAATAAATTAATAAAACTAATTAATTAGGTAAATAAATAAAATTAATAAAGTAAATAAATAGATAAAGTCCTCAGAGCAGGAGATCTGTCTTATTTCTTTTTCTGTCTTTGTGATAAAAAAATCTAAATTATACAGACATCAAACTTCTGCAGCTTCCACAGAAAATGAAGAGAAAAGTTTAAAACAAAAATAATAAAACTCTTTACATTTACACATGTGCACCCCCCCTCCTCCTCCTGGTGCATTATGGGAGCTGTGTTGGTCCTGCTTCAGACCCTGTAATCTCCTCTGATTCATTAGCGTCCCCGCTGCTGCCTGTTTGTCAGAAACCGTCCCGTATAAATGTGGGGTCTTACCACAGCGGGCCCCCGACAGCCAATCAGGAGCCAGGGAGGGGGGGGGCATGGGACAGAATTAATGAAGAGGAGGATCATCTTCGGGGGGGGGGGGGCGAAGGGCGGCGAATCACCAAGGTCACGGCGAGGGCTCGCACAGAGAGTACACACACAGAGTACACAAAAACAACCTGAGGGAGTACACTACAGGGTACAGTACACACAGAGAGTGAAGGAAGTACTGCACAGAGTACACACCACAGTACACACACACACACACACACAGAGTACAGAGGATACAGAACAGTCGTCCTGTTTTTAATCCTCCTCGCAGTATTTTGTGACGCTCTCAGTCGTGTCGTGATGTTTCTTATATGAGGCTTCGTTATGTCCCTGTCCTGCTAATTAATTAAGTGTGTGTGTGTGTGTGTGTGCGTGTGTGTGTGTGTGTGTCAGACACTAATAGAAACACTAATTGTTCACTCTGATGGTCATCAGTCCTGCTGAGATTACTCTCTGGAGCAGAAGTGTGTGTGTGTGTGTGTGTGTGTGTGTGGGGGGGGTGTTAATATGAGACTAATTAAGATGACCTCACAGTGGGGGGGTGTCCCTGATGACAGATAATTACAACAGCAGGTCTGCAGATTCACCTGTGGACCAGAGCGTGTGTGTGTGTGTGTGTGTGTGTGTGTTAGGGGAGGGGCCACTGAGGGGCCTCTTTAACGGTAAATTAGCGTCGCTGTGGCGTCTCCATGGACACACGCTGACCGAAGCATATGGACCAACAAACACGCACACGCTTATTTTACTGTACAAGTGAGGACCCTTCGCCACAGGACACCCCCTGACCACCTGACCCTGGCCACCTGACCCTGACCACCTGACCCTGAACACCTGACCCCTCTCAGCCTGATCTGCGAGGAAACAGGTCACAGTTCATTCTGGTCACATTTCACATTCACATTTTTTTATCTGAATCTGATCAATCGAAGACCAAACACACACAGTCCTCGTTTTGTACCATAAACAGGTGGAGTGAGGGTCCAGCAGCTGAATCAGATCTCCGTCGGTCCTCTGCGGCTCATCTGAACACACAAAGACCAAACTTCATCCTGAACACGTGAACTCTGAGTGACATCCGCTCGAATCGTCTGCGAGCATCTTGAGCGCGATAAGGTCTGATTGGACGAGACGTCCTCTCAGTACAAGCTGATCTCTGTCAGCCTAACAACATTAACTCTGACATTTCCTGAATTCCTCTCGTTTCTGAGTGACCCGGAGTCGACGTCTCACATGGATCAGATTCATGACTGGCAGAGACAGGACAGGGTTAGCGTTAGCGTTAGCATCAAGAGGTTGAGGAAACAGGAAGCTGCAGCCTGAGTGGAGGTCAGACTGTGGTCATGGATGCTGTTCTTTTACAACATGTCAGCGCAGGCTCAAACACCGAACGTAAACACGCCTCTTTGAGTTGAGGAGTTTCTGCAGCCGGCCTCTAGTGGACGCCTGAGGTACTGCGGTTTTTAAAACAGGTTTAACTTTTCACAAACAAATGTTTCAGTTTGGTTCAAGATGATTTTATCCATTATCCACAGAGTTACTGTGACTTTATGTAAATAAAATATGTAATATGTAAAAATATGTAAATAAAGATAAGTAAGTAAACAAATAAAAATAAAGAAAAGTATTAAGTAAATAAATAAATAAAAAAATAAGTAAAAAATAAAAATAAATATAAATTATTTAAGTAAATTAATAAATAAATAAGAATAAAAATAAATTAAAATAATGAAGTAGAGATAAAAATAAAAATAAATAAAAATAAGTTAGTAAGTAAATATATAACAATAAATAAAAAGTAAGTATCCACAGAGTTATGGTGACGGTGCTTCGGTCTCAGCAGGTCAGATCATCTTCAGACGAAGATCCAGGAGATAAGACAGTCATTAAAAACTGAGGCGAGTTTCTGCTGAGTGTTAATGAAACTAAATTAATCTGTTTTCACTCTCATGTAGGTCACACTCAGACTCGGATTTTTTCTCCAGAATAAAAACCGTCTCTACATGAGAACCAACAGAACCACAGAGATCCTGAAACCAGCAGAGAAACAAAGAACCGGGAAAGAACCTGCAAAACACACAGAACCTGCAGAACCTCTAACGAAACCTACCAGCAAAACCGTCCAGAACCTACAGAGCATCACACAGAACCTACAGTCATTCAAACCCTGCAGAGGGAGATCACAGAACCTGCAAACATCAGAATACTCCATCAAATATTAGGAATATTAGAGAGACGCTCTTTTTCTGCAGACGAATAAATAAATAAAAATAAACAAATAAAAATAAAGAAAAGTATTAAGTAAGTAAATAAAAAAATAAGTAAAAAATAAAAATAAATCTAAATTATTTAAGTAAATTAATAAATAAATAAGATTAAAATAAATTAAATGAGTTAATAAAAATAATTAATAAAGTAAATAAATTGATAAAAATGAAAAACATAAAAATAAGTTTGTAACTAAATAAACTGAAATAAATTAAATTAATGAAGTAGAGATAAAAATAAAAAAAAATAAAAATAAGTTAGTAAGTAAATATATAACAATAAATAAAAAGTAAGTAAATAAAAAGAAATAAAAATTATTTAAGTAAATAAATAAATAAAAATACTAAAGTAAATAAAGGTCACACTCAGACGGGGTAATGAGCTCTTTTCTTTTTGTTCCCCCTGACTCACAGAGCAGAAATAACAGGTCTCACTACCTGCTCCTCCTCTTCTTCTTCTTCTGTGGTGTTTCTACATGAAGTGACTGTCTCCTAAATGCTTCCTCTGATGCTCATTTTCATATTCAGATGCAGTTTGAAGCTCCATGATGGACTTTCTTGTCTTTGTGACTTTACCGTCATCATTTTCCATCCAAACTATGATTCAGGCGCAGACGTGTGGTGGATTACAGGCGTCTCAAACGCTTCACCGGACGTGTCAGATCTTTGAAATGTCCGTGTTGTGATGAAGTTTCACAGGATACAGAGATACTGATCAGCCTCTGATCTGCAGCTTTTGAACGTTAAAGGTGAAAATGGAAAAATGGGCGGACGTGATGGAAAACGACAGTTAGTGTTGATCAGCGTCCGGCCCAGACTTCTTTTTCTGTGCGCTGCTCTGTTAAAGCAAATTAAAAAGTAACAACACTAGGGGGCGATATGGGTCTTTTCAACAACAACAGCAGGTCGGTGTCAGACGTCAGAAGTGTCTACAACTGCTGCTGGGCATTTTGGAGAAACAAGAAGATGGAGCATCGTACAGCGTTGTTTTTGTCCGACATGATGGACGCGCTACTTTTTCTAAAGAGGAGACCAACGCTACTCCTCTACTCTGGGGGTTTGTTACGGGGTTATGGGGGCGTGGCCTGTATCCGATCATACTCCGACTACGCTGGTTACATGGTAGAGAAAATCGGATTCCAATCTCATTATCTGGGTGTCTTGATCAGAGTTTAAGAACTCTGATTAAAGTCGGACTAAGGTGTTTACATGACCTTCAGTTGTCCGGTCTTAATCGGAAAAAGGCGATAATTCGGTTTTCTTTAGTGTCATGGAAACGGACTGAAAGATTTCTAATTCTATGTTGAAAGGACAGCTGGACTTAGTTGAGACGTTTCGCCTTTTCCATGCGTAGATTCCCACTCCAGAGTCATGTGACTAACCTGTTGGACAAAGTTGGTTTGAAATCATCTGAAAACCATAAAAGTCTGTTTTATTTCCGATCATTTTAACCCTTAAATGTCTTTTAAACTTCGTCCCTCAGAGTTCGGAGTTCTCCGACTCCATTAATAGTCGGACTCAGGTGTTTACATGACCTTCAGTTGTCCGGTCTTAATCGGACTAACGCGATAATTCGGTTTTCTCGAGTGTCATGGAAACATACTAACCGACTCAGCATCAGTCGGTTCGGCGTCTCGGTGTAAACGTTTGACGGTCAGCTGACCTGCAGAGACTCTCTCAGATCAGCTGATTGGAGGTCAGGAGGTCACTGCTGTAGATCCACCTGACCATGTGACATCATATTTCTGTGTCGCTGTTTTCTCGGCGTTCTCTGGAGTCTGCTGAGTCAGCACATCTCAGAGTAGAAGGTTTGATTCTCGCCGAGTCGACCGCTCGCTGCTTCCTGTCTGACTTTCCTCCACGAGAACAGGACGGAGCTGTGACTCACCGCGGGACAGGAAGGAGGAGGAGGAGGAGGAGGAGGAGGAAGGTTTCTCCTTGTGGAGCGGACGAGGACGGCTGATGAATGACAAGATGAAGGTGTGTTCCCAGCATGCAGCAGGGCGGGAGGGGGGCGGCACCGTCTGGGGTCGGTTTTGGAGGGAAAATGGGCTCTGCAGGCGCCGCTTCTCTTTAAACTGAACGAACACGGCACTGCAAGGCATCATGGGAGGACGGAGTGAGCGAGGGCAAACGGGGGGCCTGTTTATGTATTCATTGAAGACTGAAGCGATTTTCCCTGACTCCGCCCACTCTGTCCTGAGGTGAGGCGTGATGGGAGCTGCAGAGGAGCAGGTCAGAACCTCGACTTTTACTGGAACAGAGAAAATTAAAAAACCTGAAACTGAAAAATGATGACGCCGGCGGGATGAAGCTGTTAGCGTTTTTTTCTGTTTTCGTTTTCTCACATGGAGAAGAAACTGCAGAAGAAGAAGAAGAACATCCTGAGTCAGGATTTCAAAATAAAAGAGAGATGAAGATTTCCACAGGTCTCTACTTCTGTCACCCCCAATTTTCACCGCATCCGGAATGTTCCGATCTGGAATGGCAGCGATTTTCGCCATACGCCAATTCCTACCGGATCCCTTTGTAATGCAAATTCCGTGGTGGATTACAGACAGCGGTAATCGCGAGAACTCACAAGAACCTGCAGATTCACGTTCAATCACACGATAACGAGTTGTCTCTCTAAAGACAGACACATAGACATATAAGCAGTAGATTGTGTCCTTCCAGAGGAGGAAATCTACTTCTAGACTTCTAGAATCAGCATCTCCTCATCCATGGTGTCATCGGGGTGAAATGACGTCTAAAAACCTTTCACTTGTTCGTCTCCGCCCGAACAAGCAAAAGGTTGTGTTTTATTTTGAAAAGAAGCCGGATGTTTTATTTTGTGTCTGTGCCCGACTTCCTTTCCAGCACGGGTTAATCTGTGCTGAATTTATCCGCCATGCTCCGGCGTCCAGAAAAAATAGAACTCTTGTGATCAGCTGAGGAGTCCGGCGATCCGCAGAGGAACGGAAAGAAGTCGGTGTAAATTGACACGTTAACTTGAATGGTTACGATCAGCTACGATCGGAGGATACGACCTTTTAGGAGACGATCAGGATGGAGGTGGAGGTTGGGGGTCAGAGGTGCAAACAGACTGAAAGATCTTTGATTTAGAGTGTTTCTACCGGTTCAGTCATGTGACGATGAAGTTCCTGAGAAACCGCCAACGTCCCAGAGTTCAGGGTTATGGATTTGTGAATCAGTTAGCGTATGTGTTATGATTGTTATAATGTTTAATCTATGAAGTCGTCAGACTCCGCCCCGCTCCTGTCAGTCAGTGTTTATTTCTCTGAACCTGACGGAGATCAGCTGATCCTGGCGCGTTGATTCACCCTTTCACTCTCGTCCCTCCCAGAAGGTTTCTGTTGAGCTGACGCTCAGAGTAACTGGACTTTAGGGGTCATTAGAGGTCAAACGTGTTAGTAGGATATTATACTCGATTATTCTCTTGTATCCTAACATTTGTCACATTGTTTTGTCGTGTATTTCTACGTATAATTACCTTTAATTTAATAACACAATGGTTGTATCTGTTCACCAACCGCCTCTGATAGTTAACCAAGTAAATCTATAATCTATATATCTACATCCTCAGTGTGAGATCTGACGGTTAACCGCCAACGCCTCCGCAGCTTCAGAAACACAGACGTATGTGTGTGTGTGTGAGGAAATATGGAGATACAACAGAGGGATATATTTATGAGTCTTCTTCATGCGGCTGTAAAACCTTCAGGGATTAAAAAGGCTTTTATTTTGTAGGATGTGTGTAGCAGGACTGCTGAGTTTGCTCGTGAGGGGAATTCTTTACTCACCATCACACGGAGACAAACATTTACAGAGAGACGCGCTGTGAATAATCGGTTTCTTTCCTGCTGAAGTCACTGAAGGTCCAGATCCTGAACGCTGATCTCGGTTCCTCCTCGGTCCGCTTTGAGGACATTTGTCTTTTCATTTCATCTTTTTTTTAAGACTGGAAAATCTCATTTTCTGAGAGTTCTTATTTTTCTTCATATTAAAAAAAAAAAACTCAGTGTCACCTGTAGTTCTTCGTCGCCACATTCTAGCTCCGCCCACCCTCCTTTGACTTCCATTAAAAACAGTTTTTTTTTGAGCGTGTGTTTACGTCTCCGTAGCAACATATTACAACCTTTTTTTGCAGTCAGTCGATCAGCAGGGCTCTAAATCTGACTTTATCAAAAAAAAATTCATCAACATCATTTTAAAAGGGAAATATGGCAATTTTGTGTTTTTTTACCATATAAAATAGCAGCGACACGGAGCACGAAAACTGGCATAAAAAGGGTGTAACAGTGAATTTTTTATTCGTGACTTTTTTAATGGTCAGGGCTGAAGTTGTTTCAGAGAATTGAGTTGAAAAAAGTTTTAAAAAATGTTTAAAAATGATTATTTTTTCAACATTTGTTTTGGGGACAAAGTCGACTTCAAATGAACAGGAACCGAGGTCCAGGTGAAGAACCTGAGCGTCCGCTGTCACAGTCCTGTCAGAAAACCTCTTTGTTAAAGGTTAAAGGTTAAAGTGGAGAGAGTATCAACGCTGAGTCATGGAGTTTAGGGTCATGGACAAAGTTAACTCCCACCCTGTCAGGAGGACGTACTTTAATTTGGACCGACCAGGAACCGTGATGAGCTGCTGGAGGACCACTGTGACAGTAAACGTCTCTCCAGGTGCATCATGGGTAGAGGATCGGCCCCGGACGGCCTCCTGCTGCAGTAATGAGCCGAGAGAGGAAGAGGAGCGCGATGAAGCTGTTTGTTTGATATTCATGTGATCACAGGAGCTCCATTGGTATTCATGAGAAATGATAAAACATGCAGCAGAGAGACGGAGGAGCTGAGAGATCCAGAGACTGAGGAAGAGGAGGGTGATGTCATCTTCATCACCAGGAATCAGCTGGTGAATAAACATCACTTCCTGCTTGTCAGTAATGAGTCCTGATCAACCTGGGCGTGTTCGTCTTTATGTCCCCGTGAGTGAAAGACAAAAACACACACGAGGTCGAAACATCAAACAGATACTGTCGTTTCTGTGATTGGCTGATCGGATGTGATGTCATCTATCTGAACTTAAATGTAATTGGTTTAAAATGACGGTGGGCAGGACAGAGATGAGAGACGTGTTGGCGGTTTGATCGCCTCAGGTATCGGGTCTCCAGTCACAGATGATATTTCCGTCTCTGTACTGTGAGTGGATTCAGAGCTGTCAGGATTAGAGCGCACAGAGCAGCTCTGAGCAGCAGAGACACCCACGGTTTTTAATAATCGGAGTCACAGTTAAAGTCCTGGGTGACGATCCAAGGAAAACAGTTGAAACCTGTATCGAACCTGTACCGCCCTCCCCCTGACACGCCCCCTCTGGCAGAAGATCCTACGCTAGCTTCAAACAGGATCCACCATGTCGGATTGTTAGTGACTAGCAGCAGTAAACGCCAGCTCTGCTAGCGAGCGCCGTCTGCAGCTACCGTGTTGACATGTCAGAGACTAATCAGAGTTATTTATGTAACATGAGATAAAAGGAGATAAAAATGACCTGTTCAACTAAAACTCTGCTGTCTCCGCGTCTGTATGTTAGATTCCTCCCTTGGTCACATGTCCTCTGTGACTCCGCCCTTTCTTCTGTCGACTTGCGCTTTCTTCCCTCTTTTGGCGGTGTGGCGAGCAAAAGTGTTTTTTTTTTGGCGTCCTTCTCCATCACAGCTCCTGTAGCTAAGCTGCTACGCTACAAGAGTGGGAGGGGACGAGTCGGAACTACGGGAGAGGGGTGTGTGGAATACAGCGAGGTGATTGGATGGAGAGGCGGAGCAGGAGATTGACCAATAGGAGCTGTCCGGGACGGATGGCTCCTATTGGTCAATGTTTTTTGCAGCCCTGCTCCTGATAGGGTGAACGGTTTTTTTTTGTTCTTTTTTCTCTTCACTTTGTGGAGATCGCACTATAGGACCATGATCGCCATGGAAACGAGGTTCATAATAATTACCGATCCCTCCGATCGTCAACCATGACTTTAATAAAAAACTGGAGCAGAGACAGACTGTGACGTAGTTCACGACCAAACACCAATACGTTTATTACTTTGTATCATATTATACTTTATATTTAAAATGTGAAACTATATCAGCCAATCGCTGGACGGCAGCCTTCAGCGGTCACTGTGAGGGGCCACAAGCCACAGATTGGACATCGTCTCTATTTGAGGGTTTATGGTAATCACTCTGGCAGGTCTGTGATAGAACGATGAGACCCAGTCCATCATGTGTTGTAGCTCTGTGCTCACACACACACGCACACACACACACATGTTGAGGTTGTTAATGATGCTAACTGGTACGTCATGTTGGACGCGCTTCCTCCCTCTGCGTTGTGAAGTTTCGCCAAACTTTTGATGACCGGGTTCAGACCGCCGTGGTCGTTTCTCCAGACCGGGTTTGTGTACACGAGTCAAAGAGGAGTGATGACATGATGCACCAACACGGCAGGTCCTGGCAGATAAAACTTAAACTCTCCCAGGACGGGAAATTCTTGCTGAGTCATCATCATCCTGGTCCAGAAACTAAAGTCACATGTCCGATCAGATCTTAGAAACCCGCTTCAGAGTCAGAACCGGTCCTCCATACGCAGGTCTACTGAGCATGTGATGGCCCAGAGTCCTTTGCAGATGGATTAAGTATACAGGCAGTAACCATAGAGACAGAACTACAGCTCCCAGCATGCCTCAGGCTCACAGCAGGTAGACCGTCCTGCAGGGCCCCTGAACTGTCCTCGCCTTGTTACCTCAGCGACTTACAGCTCATCACCTCGGCAACATGGGAGGGCGTCACCATCCTCCTCCAGAGAGTCGGCAGAGGTGAGGGTTAAAGACAGGAGGGGGGGGGGGTACAGCTGCTTTCCTCATGAACACCTGTGTGTCCAGGAAGTAGACACGTCCCACAGGGCAGCAAAGGCTGCTGGGAGCCAAACAGGAGAGACTCTTTATGAAAACAAGAATCTGTCAGACCTGAACGGATCCTCGACCCCGGGTCAGTCAGGGTCTGAGGAGAGATCTTGAATGTAAACTCGACCCCTCCAACCAGTTTTCCCCTCAGCTCCTCCCCTCCCTCTCTTAAGCCCCGCCCACAAACAGACGCTCCTGCTTGCTCGTATCGTTCCAATTAAATTCAGATATAATGCAGATAAATCCTTCAGATCATTACAAATGGGGCCCAGTCAAGGTGAAAGTCAAAAGCATTGGTGCTACTGTAGATGCCAACAGACTACCAGCAAACACAATGTTTGCAGGACTTCTACAACGAGGATAAAGTGACATAGTCCAGGACCCGAGGGAGGACAGTTTAGCGATGGCGCTACAACACGCTACAGCAGGTCCGTTTGACAAGAAACACTTCTGTTACAGACACTTGTCTTACTTTGTTAAAGCGGTTTACCTGTCCAGCAGAAAGGTTACAGGGTCACCAAGATCCCCAAGCGTCCCCCATGGTTTATGTTGACCCGGCTTTTTAGCTCTTGTCCGGTCTACCTCCGTTTTAAGCGCCCGTTATTCCTCCAAAGACTGTTTTCTTTTTGACCGGTTTGGTGTTGACTGTTTTCTTGCTGACTGTTTTCTTGCTGACTGTTTTTTGTTGACTGTTTTGGTGTTGACGTTTTCTTGCTGACTGTTTTCTTGTTGACTGTTTTTTTTGCTGACTGTTTTCTTGTTGACTGTTTATGGTTGACTGTTTTCTTGTTGACTGTTTCTTGTTGACTGTTTTCTTATTGACTGATTATAGTTGACGTTTTCTTGCTGACTGTTTTCTTGTTGACTGTTTTTTTTGCTGACTGTTTTCTTGTTGACTGTTTTGGTGTTGACTGTTTTCTTGCTGACTGTTTTTTGTTGACTGTTTTGGTGTTGACTGTTTATGGTTGACTGTTTTCTTGTTGACTGATTATAGTTGACGTTTTCTTGCTGACTGTTTTCTTGTTGACTGTTTTGGTGTTGACTGTTTTCTTGTTGACTGATTATAGTTGACGTTTTCTTGCTGACTGTTTTCTTGTTGACTGTTTTTTGTTGACTGTTTATGGTTGACTGTTTTCTTGTTGACTGTTTTTTGTTGACTGTTTATGGTTGACTGTTTTCTTGTTGACTGTTTTTTTGCTGACTGTTTTCTTGTTGACTGTTTTGGTGTTGACTGTTTTTTTTTGCTGACTGTTTTCTTGTTGACTGTTTTGGTGTTGACCGTTTTCCTGTTGACCGGTTTGGTGTTGACTGTTTTCTTGCTGACTGTTTTCTTGTTGACTGATTATGGTTGACGTTTTCTTGTTGACTGTTTTCTTGTTGACTGATTATGGTTGACTGTTTTCTTGCTGACTGTTTTCTTGTTGACTGATTATAGTTGACATTTTCTTGCTGACTGTTTTCTTGTTGACTGTTATCTTGCGGACTGATTATGGTTGACTGTTTTCTTGTTGACTGTTTTTTTGTTGACTGTTTTCTTGTTGACTGTTTTCTTGCGGACTGTTTATGTTTGAGTGTTTTCTTGCTTGTGTCGGCAGTCGTGGCCAAAGGAGGATTCAGACAATTTTCCGAACTTTCTGGTTGGTTTCTACTGTCCGATATTGTAGCACGCTAACTTTGTTTGGGCTCCTGAACGACACGAGGGAGCAGCGTCTGCCTCACAACCAATCAGGTTAGAGGAGGTGGAGAACGGCTTTGTTTACAGTCAGAAAGAGCGGACCGCTCAAAAATGTTCAAATGTTGACGACACAGACATAAGAGAACACAGAGATATCGATATATTACCAAATGTCATCAATAACTAATAACTATTGACTGATATTTAAAGATTTTTTGTAAATACACAAAATAAAAAGATGCTTCGTTAACAGATTCCTGACTACAACACCTTTAATGACAGAAACCAGAACAAAAACCTGAAACAGAAACACGTCTGACGGCTCTTTATCTGCTGCTATCTTTATATTTTCTCATTTTTAAAATTTCACTTTCATATTTGAATCCATTCGACCTCTTTGTCTTTGTTAACCCTTTAAATCCTGAGACAGAAACTCAGAGAAAGAAAAGAAATGAAGGATAAGACAAAGAAAAGGACAGAAGAAGCAGGAAGAAAGGAAGAAAAAAAAAGAAGAGAAACAAAAATGCTGCAGAACATCATGTCTTTAGGGAACACACACACACACACACACACACACACACACACACACACACACACATACACACACACACACCATCAATTATTACTGGCTGCTGTTGGACGGTCTGCAAACCATCAGCCAATTATACTGAGCCCTGAACCATCAACCAATCCCAGAGCTCCAACCCTGCCAGCCAATCAGAGAGCAGAGATCACAGTTACTGAGGGCCAAACACCTTTCCTTCTCTTCTCCTTCTCCACTTCACCTTGTCTCCTCTCTCCTTGTCTCCTCTGACATGTAGTCTTGGTGTGTTTCCTATCATAACCCCCTTTCCTCAGACCGCCCCATAACTCCCTGAAGAGTCTTCAGGTGGTCCAAAGTCCTGACAGAACCAGGACAAGAGGGAACGTCTTCTCTGGATTAGATTTTCTACGCTGGCATCCTGTGAAATCTAGGCTAGAATTTAAGATCCTTCAAAGTTCTTCATGGTCAGGAACCATCACAGCTGAAGGAGCTTTAGGTCCCTGTAACCCCACCAGAGCAAAACAGTCCCAGTCTGGACCTGCACATCACATCTGGAGTCTCCAAAAGTAGACCTGGATCAGTTATCAGGACCCGCTCTTCAGGAATCAGGAATTACCCGGGATTTCCACCGTTGGTGAGGCAACTTACGGACAGCGGTAATCACGTGACCTCACAAGAACCCGCAGATTCACGTTCAATCCCACGATAACGAGTCATCTCTCTAAAGACAGACACATAGACATATAAGCAGTAGATTGTGTCCTTCCAGAGGAGGAAATCTACTTCTAGACTTCTAGAATCAGCATCTCCTCATCCATGGTGTCATCGGGGTGAAATGACGTCTAAAAACCTTTCACTTGTTCGTCTCCGTCCGAACAAGCAAAAGGTTGTGTTTTATTTTGAAAAGAAGCCGGATGTTTTATTTTGTGTCTGTGCCCGACTTCCTGTCCAGCACGGGAAAGAAGTCGGTGTAAATTGACACGTTAACTTGAATGGTTACGATCAGCTACGATCGGAGGATACGACCTTTTAGGAGACGATCAGGATGAAGGTGGAGGTCAGGGGTCAGACTGTTCCAGGCCTCTGAAAATTACTGTTATTCTCTGTAAGAGGAACCATGACCTTAAAATTTCGACAACTTCAGATTAGAAAAAAGTGAACTATCCCTTTAATTGAACTCTCATGAATCATTTCTACAGAAATTTTCCTCAAAAACACCAAAAAAGAAGAAGAAGAAGAAATGAGGGTGAAGAAAGCAGCGATGAGAGATTTGAAACCGATCTGCTGGAGAGAGAGAGAGAGAGAGAGAGAGAGAGAGAGAGTGTGTGTGTGTGTGTGGTGTGTGTGTGTGTGTGTGTTTGCGCTGGGTGGTGACCTGCGTCATGTAAACCTCGTTAGGACGTCGCAGTAATCAGAGCGTGAAACTCTGACGGCGTTCCTCTTTTCTTCAGTCGCCATGTTTACCCTCACAGCCCGTCTCGGCCGACGGCGGGAGAATTCATTTTTATTAATAACACGCCGCATTTTTTATCAATGAGTAACTGTGGGAGGAACGTGTGTGCGTGTGTGTGTGCACGTGTGTGTGTGTGTGTGTGTGTGTGTGTGTGTGTGCGGGGGGTGCCGTCACTTCAGATCAGGTTTATGAGCGGAGGACAAACAGATCCAGACTGACTCTACCGTTAAAGAACAGGAGAAGAAGAAGAAGAAGGACTCTGCTGGTTCTGGTTCTGACTGAGTCTAGAGGACTGTCCAAGAGAGTCCAGCAGAACCGACTCTGGAGCAGAACCCCTGATCCGGATCACACCATGAAGTTAAAGAAAAGATCAATTTGATCAGGAGAAAATGGTAAACGACCCGAGCATCTGAGGGAACGGTTTCAAGAACACCACCCAGGTCTGGTCCAAATGGTGACATCCAGCCAATCATCAGCGAGCAAAGGACCCCGAGCTCAACTGACCAGCTGAGCTCATCTGGTACCTACAGCGAGTTTCCACTGATTGGCTAAAACTGAGTGACGATTAGTGACATCAGTGGTTTAAAAACAGACTTTGACTTTTCCTTAAATTGGGCGAGAAGAAGAAGAAGAAGAAGAAGAAGAAGAAGAAGAAGAAGAAGAAGCTAGCGTTACATGAAACGACGATAAAGCAGCTGAACGACGTTCGCCGTGCCGCTGCAGTCCGCCTCGCTGCGTTGCTAAATGGAAGGAAAACCTGCAGCTCAACTCGACATTTCAAGGAGCTTCTCCATCAGTCGGTCCGTTTCCATGACACTCGAGAAAACCGAATTATCGTCTTTTTCCGATTAAGACCGGACAACTGAAGGTCATGTAAACACTTTAGTCCGACTATAATCAGAGTTTAAGAACTCTCAGATAATGTGACTGGAATTTGATTTTCTCTACCATGTAACCAGCGTAGTCGGAGTATGAGGCCACGCCCCCATAACCCCGTAACAAAAACCCCAGAGTAGAGGAGTAGCGTTGGTCTCCTCTTTAGAAAAAGTAGCGCGTCCATCATGTCGGACAAAAACAACGCTGTACGATGCTCCATCTTCTTGTTTCTCCAAAATGCCCAGCAGCAGTTGTAGACACTTCTGACGTCTGACACCGACCTGCTGTTGTTGTTGACGGTTGGATGGGGTCGGAAACAGAGACGCTGAAAAGACCCATATCGCCCCCTAGTGTTGGGGAGGAGGACACGTTCACGTCAATAATTCGATTTTCTCAGCTGCATGTAAACGAGGACGAGGAGAAGAACGTACCGAGTGTGTGTTTCAGTAGCTGCGTTTCCATTACATTTTTCGCAAAATAAAAGCGATGTTTATCAAATTTCGACAAAGTACAATTGCGATTTGCGGGTGTTTCCATTGAATGGTGTTCAGTGCATAACCGAGCCGTCTGCCTCTCGCGAGCCGTGTTTAAATGGCCGTTGCCTAGCAACAAGGTAAACTTCCTGCCCGTGCGACCTCGTATTCCTTAAGCCTTTTTGCACACCGACATGGACGAGACACAAAACATTTTTCGTTTTGGAGCAGCTGTTTCTGTGACCATTACTGCTGTTGCCGCTGCTGTCATCAGAAGACAAAGGCAGCGGGTGATAATTCAAAGGCAAAGCTCGTATGTATGGGAGCGAACATGGAGGAGGGATTTCTGGGAGAGGATCGTTAATGAGGAATTCACAGACGAACTGTGGATTCAAAACTTCAGAAAAATATAAATACAATTCAAAACTTCAGAAATAAGTCCGTCTCCTCCCCCGTCCACATATACCGTGCCATCTACGCTTGAAATGAACTGGTCACATGACCCGCTACGTCACGTCCGGTGACAGAGAATTGCGAGAAAAGTGTTTCCATTACACTTTTGCGATAAACTTCTATATCGACACTTCTGAAAAACCACCTCATGAGAGCGTCAAAACTTTTTAGCGATATTTGGGAGGTTTTTCGAAATGTAGGTGTTTCCATTACCAGTTTTCTATTGCGATATTTACGTTTTGCGCAAATCTATGGGTAATGGAAACGCAGCTAGTGAGAGTGTGTGGATCAAAGTTTAACGTTAGAAAAACCGTTTTTCTGTGAGAACTTTCTGACTCTGAAGTTACTGTTGACGTTAAACCTTCATGAGTCTGATGACTTTATAAAGACACAGAGTTTAATGTGAAACCTGTGACTCATACATCCACACACACACACACACACTGAGTGGGTTTTATCAGTTTATTGTTTTATCCTGATTCTGTTTGATCCACTTATTGAGTTTTAAGTCGAGTCTGCAGATCACATCCAGACGTCCCGTAAACATCACATGAGCTGCATCAGCCTGTAATGATGTTTACCTGAGAAATAAACCAGTTCAAGCTGCGGACTGAAGACCCGGTTTCCTCTGAGGTCTGAGGTCCGAGGTCACTCCCACAGAGTCATTGATTTACAGCCCAGATGAGGGGAAAAAAAACTGTGTACTGCTCCTTTAAACCTGCAGTTTCTCTAATATAAGGAAAAAAGTTGATGCTGAGAGTTTGACTCCGCCTCCCTCCGCCCTGCCTCAGCGCCTCAGAGCCAGGCATCAAGCCGTCAGTCACGCAGCGACCTTTCACCCTGACGTGCCGGTCCGGTCCGGTCCGGCCCGGCAGCTGCTCCTTTCTTCTCTTTGTGTCGTCTGAGCCGCTCCTCCATTAACATAATCTCCATTAAACACTTCACATGTCGCTTTAAGAGCGCCGCCATCTGCATAATCCCATTAACTCTGCCGCCGCGGCCACGACGCAGCCGCAGCCGGCAGGAGCTCCGGCTCAGGTGGAGGAGGAGAAAAGGAGGATTTACAGGGAGTGTCAGTTTGTGAATGAAGGAGAAGGAGACGCCGACGGTTTGGAGACGCAGACGGAGAAAAGAAAAACGTCTCTTCGCTCTAAAAGCTTCTTCCGGGTGTAAATCTGTCCGTGCTTCCCCTCCGTCTGGGGAAAAGTCCGCTTACAGAGTTTCCTGTCTCCCCCTAACCCCCCCGTCCTCCCCCCTCCTCAGACCCAGAAGAAGAAAAACAGATTCACGCTTTCGGATGACAAGAAAAGTAGGTCAGATTTAAATTCAGACCAAATCCGGCTGTTTGAGCGCCGCGCTGACGCTCATAAAACTCCAGCTGGCTGCTGTGCACAGAAACCTGAACCTGGTCTTTATCCAGGTCCACAGAGTCCACATTAACCTGGATCTGTGAGTTGGAGTCAGTATGTGGACCCCAAACCTGATCCAGGCCCTGGTTTTGGTCCACTGGCCTCTCAGCGTGACTGCGGCGAGTAAACCTGGCGGCCGGAAATGAGCCATCGATCACAGAGGAAGAAACAGGAAACAGGAAAGTGATTAATTATCATCATCGGGTCGGTCCTGAGGGAGGAACTAATGAAGCAGAGAGAGGCGCTGATTCTGAAGACGGATGGACCGGGACCAGGAAAGAAAGGGTCCAAGAAAAAACCTGCGTTTGATTAGATGAAGTGAGCCGCTGTCCGCATCAACGATTAATGATCAATAACTGAAGATTGATCACTAACAGAGGAGTCAAACCTGCCCAGACAAATAAAGGAACTTTGATTCAAACCATCAGAACTCAGGGTCCAAATGAGTGTCAGGAGAAAGTTCTGGAATCCCGAGATTATGGCTGTGACACCTCAGGTCCAGGGAGATGTTAGAGAACCGACCAAACAGGTCCAAACAAACACTCTTCTGGAAAGGACACACTGGTCTGAAATGGTTTGATCCAGTTCAGTTTGGCTCTAACTGGTTATAACTGGTTGTGTTGTGTTTGTCGTGACTCTGATTGGCTGGTTCTTTCTTTTTCTTCGATGGTGTTCTGACTGGTTCTTTTTGGGTTTATCCAGCACAGTCTGGTTGTAAACTGGTTTTATCCGGTTCAAGTAATTCCAAACGCTCTTTTGGAAAGGCAAACTGGACCTACTTGTAGCGTACCCTCCGACAGATTGGTGGACTCGACTGATGATTTCGTGAAACTGTCTTTATTTTCATAAACCTTTCCATAAATCAGCTCCATGAAATTCACCGTGAGAACTAACAAAACACAAAAAATGAAATTACATTTCTGTTTATACAATGCACCATTACCTAATAGCTTCACCGAAGGTGAGAGAAAATTGGCTTAGCTTTAGCACAGTAACGTAATGTAAACCATAACATACACACTCTCTAACTAACCTTGTGCCTCCTCGGGGGGTAGCTATACCTTCTTCGTTGCTTCACTCTTTATTTAACGTAGATTTATTACTTTATTTTCCTTTACCTTAAACTCTTTAACTTTCACCGTTACCTTAGCTCATTCATACCGTGACCGTCCTTTTGTTTCCTTTTACCCGCACAAAACAGCAAGGAGGAAGTGACACATTGGTTAGCAATCTCTTCAAAATAAAAGCTCACAATAACATAAGCTCCAAAATGAGCAATATACATATAAAACACATAAATTACATTTTCTTACAACAAACTCAAATCATGAACTATAATTTTATACTCTCGAATCATACAAAAATGCATTGAGAGTAGCTTAACTGTTTGTTTTTAAGATTTTAACTTATTTAACCATTTTAACAGTATAAGGCTGCCCTCTTGTGGCCAAAATGATAAACAGCAATACATAAAACCAAAAAGGGGTTTGCTACACTACTTGAGAGGCGAAACGTCTCAAGTAAGTCCAGTTGTCCTTTCAACGAAGAACAGGAAATCATAGATGCTGCATCCTCCGCTTTAAACAAGATCTCCAGGTTTAGGAGGAACATCTGCGTCCATCCAGACAAAGACTTTTTGAGGGAAGACCTTCAGATGATCCTAAACCACATTTAACAGCATGGCTCTGTAGGAGAAGAGTCCTCGACTGATGCGGTCCTGACTTGTTTTCAGAGTCTGGCTCTTAAACTTAAAATGATTCCTACAAAATAAAAGCCTAATAGTCGATAAATAAAAGTAGTAGCAGCTGTTAAATCTCTCTGCACAGACACACCAGACAGGGCAGCAGAGTTCCTGGTCTTCTTCTGCTGCTTCTGTTGGTCTGTATATTTCTGTTGCTCCGCACTAACTGTTTGAAAAACCTCAGTCATGCAAAAACACAAACAAAGAGGCGTCAGGGCGAAGGTGGAGGCCCTCAGAATCATCCCCATCCCTCAGTTCAATGGATAAATAATGACCTAAGAACGGAGTTTGGTCCAGTCCTGGTTTAGGTCCGACTCTGATGACATGTATGATAAAAAAACGGCGTTGTGGTTTTGGCCGGTCGTCTCTCAATGATTCATGAGTCGTCTCGGAGCAGGAATTCCAGGTCATTCATAATGAATAACAGCGAACATTAAAGGGTTTCTGCTCTGACGTGAACTCACTGAGGTCTGCTCCGAACAAAAAAAAAAAAAAAAACACACAAAAACACCGAAAAAACGACAACACACAAGAAGGAGAACCAGCTGTTTGTCTGGCTGCAGATAAAACTGTCAGAACCAATAAAAACCGGCTCAAACCAGTTACAGCAAGACACAAAACAATAGAGCTGAACTGGACTGAACTGAACCAGCAAAGACCACGCGTAATATCACAACAACCCTGAAGAACCAGTTTAAGGTCAAACAAAACGGAACCAGAAAAAAACAGTTTACAACCAGACCAAGCTGGATAGAACCAAAAAGAACCAGTCAGAACACCATCGAAGAAAAAGAAAGAACCAGCCAATCAGAGTCACTACAAACTGTCGGAAGAGGTTAGAACACAACAGAACCAGTTATGATCGGTAAGCACATGCCTCAACTGCCAGACTCCACAGGGCCAATAAAAACCAGTAAGAACCAAAGCAAACCGGATAAAACCAGTTAGAACCAAACTTAACTGGATAAAACCAGTTCAGTCCAGTGTGTGCAGGGCTCACCTTAAACCTGTTTGCACCAGTAAGAACTAACGAGAGTAGACTGAAGCCTTTACAACCGGACTGAGCAAGACCAAACCAGTTAGAACCATTTAGAACCAGTTAGGCTCGTGTAAAGACTGTCTATGACTTTGTTATCACAGTTATTTATTTTAAACCAAATTAATCAAAAATTATTAACAGACTTTAAAATAAAAACGTTTTTAAAGCTGCGTTCAGGAACAGCTGTTAGTGAGGAAACCACCAACACCTTTTATTTTTAATGACCGTCACCTTTGACCCCCAGTCTGTGCAACAAGCAGCAAGTTTGTTATTTAAGCAGACGTGTGTGTGTGTGTGTGTGTGTGTGTGTGTGTGTGTGTGTGTGTCTGACTTTAGAGCAGATTTAAATTTAGTCATTTCACATTATTTTTTACAGCGCGGTCTGAGCAGCTCGTCAGAAACACAGCTGAGTCTGAAGCTCTGTGTGTGTGTGTGTGTGTGTGTGTGTGTGTGTGTGTGCGCACGCTCTCAGCTGTTTCTCTCTTCAGTTTTTATGTCTCAGATGTTTCTGATTCAGACTCCAACTGTTTTCAACGTTCATGTTTCAGCCTGAATAAAAACGTTTCACTCCTTATGTTTGAAATCTGAGTTTATTTTTCTTCTTCTTTGGTGAAAATCAGGTAGGTCACGGCATCAGATCACAAAAGGACGCTTTTAAGAGGACGACGAACTCTGGCGCCGCCAGCCTTGTGGTCTAAGCGTTAGCCCTAAATATATATCTCCTCATTTCCTGCTCCATCCACTGTCCTGTCCTTTTAAATAATGTCTCAAAAACCCCAAAATTTCATTTAAAAAAAGGAGAATAAGCAGCTTTGAGCTGAAAAGAGGAGAAAGTGACGTCCACATCATCTCTTCTTTAAAAACAGAAACTACGTTCGCTCCTTCATTTATAATCAGTGGACATGTGAGGGATTACGGAGTCCTAACTGGGTCCAGTCTAGGGTTTTACAGACTACAAGAAGACGACGTTGACAGACAACTTAAACTGAATTGACGACGAGTAAAGTCGCCCCCTGGTGGACATTGATTTAGACATTTTCAGTTTTTATGAGCAGGTTAAAGAAGCAGGAGTCAAACCAACAACCTCA